GGCTTGTAACGAAAAAACTGTTCCATGACTGGGCTCATAGTGTTGGAGTTAGTCTGTGAATTTTGAAGAGGCGCTTGCTTTTGCTGCCTACCAAGACCTTGCACAGCTCTTAACAAATCCTTAGACATAGCAGCTTGTATTGGTTGACGTGCCATTTCCTTTGAATCAACCAAATTAATTAAACAACAGCTCAATATATTTGAAATAAAAAAAAAGAACTCAATTTTATAAAATTTTAAATCCTAGAATACACGAGAGACAATTAAATCCATAGACGATGAAAGAAAAACCTACAGATTTGTTTTTTCAAGTAATGATCACATTTGTTTTTAAGAAGGAAATAAATTATTTATTTAAACTAAACTATTTCCAGGTTGCCAGTCTTCATCTTCGCTTGTCCAAACATTTTGAATCCTACGAAGCTTAGACAGAGGGGAGATATCATCCAAAGACATACATGACTTAGGCTCAAATTCCTGGTCAACCTCTAGCCTAGGGTCTAGTTTGAACCCTGGCTCATGCTCTAGTTATAACTCTGGTCTTGGTCCTGGTACATACTCCGACTCGTTCTCTAGCTCCGAATTAGTTTCATAATTCAGCTCCTCTTCTGGGTCTTTCTCAGGGTCCTCATCTGGCTTGGGTTCGGCCTCGAAAGTAGAAATCCACCTATCTAGAAAAGTTTCACAATACAGCTCAAACTCGATCCTATCTGGGTGCTCTGGAGGGTTATCCTCTAGTATTTCGTCCTTAACCACAATTCCCATGTCCCCCCACTGAGGTGGTTTACAGCTTGAACGGGTATAACCTGATGTCCTACACCCCTTGTCGTAGTCCACCTAGCGAAGACTTCCTCCACATGCTCAATAAGTATGTGAGTTGGGTTTGCCTCATAATTCTCGTAGGCTTGGATAATTGCTGCCCTATGGTTTAAAACAACCCCACAAGCCGTTGTTTTCCCAGCAGTCTCTCTAGTTCTAGCCATATCTGTCACATACAAACCAATTCCAATTATGCTTAATGTTTTATCCGTGATAATACTTTGTCTTTTGTGCTCCCATAATTCATTATAAGGATAAATCAAATATTATACTTCTATCGAAAGCTGATTAAAAGTATGCGAGAAAACAATTCATAAATGAAAGCAAATATATTTAACATCATGCTCACAATTTATACTAGAATATAACATATCATTTCATTTCGAACATTTCTCAATTTAAATATAAGAAGGTATATCTCATGCTCAAAATTAAATTTAAATAAAACATATTACATAATACTTTCGGTCCGTCGGATGGTAGTTGATTGGTGAATGCGGGGTGCCAAGAACCTTGTTGTAATTCATGTTTGTTAAATAAAATGTTTTCAATAGTATCTACCCAAATATTTATTCCACAATGATTATGATTAAGACATTAAATTTTAACACCGTCACTTGTCAAGAATTAGAAGATAAGACAAATCTGTATAGAAACGCCCGTATACAATCATATAAGATAATATAAAACTTGCCAATTATTTAAATAATTATTTAATCATTGATGAATAGTGACTTTCAAATTATTTTTTATATACATATTTTTTATTTATAAAAATAGCATTTAAAATCATTTCTCTTTCCTTTTTTTAAATTTAAATTCATCATTTTTTCTAATTTTTTCTCTCTATCACTATCGCGTGAATAGTGAGAGCACTGTTCACAGAGTAGTGTCACTATTCACATTTTTTTGAAAAACTATAATCACAATATGAAAGAAATAAAATTTACTTAAAACTGAAATTTCTTATATCTACATTCCTTCACAATGGTCCTTGTAAAGTAATTAGGCAGCAGAAGAAAAATTTCATGCATTGGAAAGTGTTTAATTATAAATTTTTTTTAGTCTATAGCAAATAAACATTTGCTCTGATACCAAGCTGTAACGCTCCAAATTTTATTGATTTAAATTTTGATGTATAACCGATATCATTTCATGATCATAATTGAAGTGAAAATATTAAATTGAAAATTTAAACCCTCAATTTATTTGAACATTCATATACTGAATTAAATAAACATAGAGTCACGAAATTTAGAACATTTAATAGAAATAAATAAAAAACACAAAATATCATAACAAAATTTTTTGTTTAATGTTTTTCTAAAATTTTAATTGGGCAACCCGCACACTGTTCAGCCACCATCCATGTTGAACGATCTACCTGAAATATTAAAATTTTAAGAAATGAGTAATTTAAACTCGTAGGATATGTGCGTTCAAAATAATATAATAAAATTTTAAACATAAATTTATGACATTTCATACCACCATTTTATCAAGAGCAGACGGAGATCAATCGAATGCTCGAACACATTTCTGTGCAAACAATTGATAAAATCCGAAGGAAATATCACATTTCATTTCATTAAGACCCGTAGGTCAAGTAGCGTTTCATGAAATAGATTACTAAAAAATATTATAATATT